CAATCCAATCAGACTACTGAGCGAGAACAGACTGAAGAAGTTGAGTACCCACAACTTCCTGAGGTACCGACAATTCACCCTTTGGAAAAACAGCGAGATCAATGTCTAGAAGAGAAAGCGAAGGAATGTTCTTTAGGTATGAAAGTAAACATTTCTAATACAGAGACAGTTCGAGCGACATTTGAAATAATATCTTCACTACGTGGTATTCTTGGAATTGAAGAAGAAAAACGTATCAAGGAATCTTGGTGCGAAGAAAAGCAAAACTACTAAAATATCACAAAAGGAGAATAAAAAAAACAGGAGGATGAGAATAACAGTTGGTACTGTAAATTATGCCAAGAAGACGTAAAAGAAAATATGATCAAATGCACACAATGTGAGATATGGGTATATGAACTTTGTGCAGGAACCAATAAAAAAACAACGGATTACAACTGCGATGACTGCCAAAAATTGGCGAAGACCATCTGCCGAATTTGTTAAGAGTTAATATACACACGTATTAATACATTATTGATTAAGATTTTTATTCTTAAGACTGAAAACCAATGATAGGATCTCAAAGTATGATTTAAAAATATATCAGTACGATTTAAGACGAATGTTCCTAAATCGTACTTTTTTAGTGTTTTTTTAAATTGTTTATTTCTCAGAAGTTTATAAGATTTATGCTAAATTTTATTATGGTAGTAATAAAATATTTCCCAAATAAAAGTTACTTAAAATAAAAAATAACTTGTTTATTAATTTCGATAATATGATAGTTTTTCCTTAAAGGGTACGAATTAGGCAAGTTTCCCCTAAAACGGCAAAACCGTATTTGGAACAAGACTGTCTCGGAGACTCACTACTAAGCAGAATCACTTTGACGCTCAAGGCGGGTCTCGTTCTCATTCTTCAATCTTCTTTGGTATCATTGCTTTTGGGCGCAATCGCCGGCCACGACCACGAGGTCGTCCAAGATTCATTTTTGATGAAATTAACCTAACCAATTTAAAAATTTCTCTCCCTTGCGTGTCGGCCCGGGTGGAATTTTTGTCGATGCGTAACGAAAATTTTCCGTTTTTGAGAAAAATAATCGTGGCTATTGTATCGTCCGAAATTATTTTTTTATTTTGCCCAAACAATATACAGTTTAACCCAATTATAACGGCATTGGATGTAACGACAACCATAATATAACGTCAAATTTTTATCAGTCCTACGATTTTACTATACTAGATAATGTTAAAAAACCCACTTGTAACGACATGAAACCGTTTTAACGTCATATTTGAAGCACTCCCAAATTTACAAAATTGATTACAAATTTTATTTAACATAGAAGAAACTACGTGTTCGGTCCTAAGGTCAGAGTTCGCTTCTTAGAACGACTATGGGCGGTACTCTCCCCTACCTGACTTCGGTGGGGTGAGGTGCCTGTTTGCAGAAGAGGGTCGCCATTTTGGATTTTATTTTGACTCGGTTCTCGGTCCCCCGACTACCTACGAGTCTGGATATTTTTATGCGCAAATGATTTGGGCACCTAATACTCTGTGGCAAATATCAACTGTCGACATTTACTCCTTCATCTCTCTATGCTGGTAACATAAAACGGCAGTACGGTTTTATAAACAAGACATAGTCTTGTCAATAAGTTCATTAAAGAGTAGTTTGAGACTTTTTGACGCTTTTATTAAATCAAAATTAAATTATTTAATCCCGGTTTAGAGGTTTGGAATTTCTATCAAGACTAGAAAAAACACAGATGAAATTTTTAAGAGTTTTTAAAATAGAACGTTCAGTTCCAAATTCTGCTTTACATCTTGAACTGGGAAGACCTGAAAATAAGCATTACCAAAAGTGTTCGGTTCTGGTTAAAAGTTCTAGAGTTACCTACAAATGACTTACTCCGAAATACTGACAGCATTCTCTGACAGTTAGATCCGATAAGAGTACTTGGTAAAAAGTATACTAGATGGCCTATGCTATTTTGTTTTGTTTTCTAACCAATTAGCTTCATTGTCAAGAACTTATATTAGTGAGATAATTCAGACCAAGTCAGGTCAGGCGAAACCCGAGATATACCTGTAGATAGGGTTTTTAGGTTATTAGGTTATCTAACTCAATCGGAATTAAAGTCGTGGGCTAGAAGCGTTATTTATTATTATTGTATCTAATGGAATCGAACGGTTTTGCAGATATTGCATAGTGTACATCTTGTTTAGATAAAGCGAGAGAATCTCTCCTTTGGACTTCAACGTTGTCTGAAAATTGATGTTGGGGAGTAGATGAACTAACTAACTGAAAATTTCATGGCGATTCCATTTGGTGTTACGGCTAACGGAGATAGCCGGTTGTGGATCCAAAGCTGTCGTTGTTGTCGACATTCGTGGGTATGCCAAGGTTCGTTCTACTTTGGAATTTTCGAATCTTTTATGCTTGCTTCGTTCTAGTCGAAGTCCCAGTACCAAGCAAAAAGAAAAGCCTTTACTTGGCAAATCTGTTCTTCCTATCTGTTTATATCCATTTTATTGTGAGAGTCGAACTTAGTGGAATAAATTGTTAAATATTTTTTTTACGAGGAGCAGTTTAGAGAAATAAACAACAAACCGATATTTAAAAAGAACATAAAACTTTTTCCCACGAACTTAATTCCGTGTTGAGGATGATACATCCAATGTGTCACCCGGAATCTACGAAAAGACGAAAGAAAACAACTATTGGACGGAGGCTGTGGGAAAAACCCAAAGACGACCCCCTTTATATAAAGGAGGGATCGATGCGTAAGAGTCAGTCTCTGGAGTTTGGTGTGAACTGTGGATTTACGTGAACGGATCAGCCGCAACCCGGAACTGTTCTAATCGCCGCCGTTCGGGAGAATCACCACCTAAAGAAATATCAACGTTCGAAAGAACTTTGTACCACACAGAGACTCGAGGACTAAACGACTATTTGCCAACTTATATCAAGGTATTTATTCTCGCGCGAAATACATGTGAGCTGTCTCTCATTAATTAATTTAATACGGGTAATCGGGAAGAAAGTAGATATGTTAACTGAATCGATTGTATATAGCTTAAAGAGAACAATAAACGGACATTATGTATAGATTATGTAGAGTGAAATTCCTCTGATTCTCTCTTTATGACTCCATCTCGGAACTAAGAGTCCACATACGCGACTGCTCGCGCGTAAATTCGAACGTAACGGTCTCTGTGTCTACCCAGAAGACACAGTGGGGTCAGTCCTGATAAATTTGTCATTGCCGTCTTCGCCGATGCAATGTCGACCCTTCGGTCCTGTGGTGCCGAAGCATAGAGGGGGGCCTTGTCACGTTGTTATCACCTTGGTTTTGACTCTTCAAGCAGTAGCTATTCATTCTGTATCGATGATTCATTTGGTTTCAATATGAACCAGAAATTTGTCCGTTATATTTGGATATAATAAATATTAAAATTCCAGTCGGAAAGTCGAAAGTAACATAAATCCGTGTCCGGAGACCGTGAAAAAATTCGACTTGGGGAAAATTCGAGTTGAAAGACGTTAAATCCCTAGGCCAGCGATTCCCAACCTGTGGTACGCGTACCCCTAGGGGCAGTCGATAGGTTGTTTAGGGGTACTGAAAAAAGTTAGTTATTATGGCAGAAAAAATAATATATTATGTATCACAAACTAATAGTATTAAAAAATTATTAGGTAAAAAATGTTCCTTGCAACAATCACAACTTTATTATGCATTTTTTCATTTAGTTTTTTTTTCTTTAATTTAAAGTTACAATATGTAAAATTAACAATACGGGTAGTTACTAAATTTCTTAAATGAGGGGTACAATCTATAGATATGACCTGTCACGGGGTACGCTAATGAAAAAAGGTTGGGAACCACTGCCCTAGGCTAATTCGTTTTTTTCGAGTTAAAGAAGTATTCTAATTACAGATGTTTGAGTTAAAGAAGTTTTACAATATTTTTATTTTCATATATTTAATCATTTCATCTTACAACATTTTTATTTGCCTGTAAAAAATGACGTAGAAAAAGCAACAAATCGTTAAGATTCTCATTAATTTTAGAAATTAATAATAATAACAATAATCACTAAAAAAGCGTTTTTTCTTGTATGTTAATAATAATCAATTATTTTTTTCTGCATAAAAAACTGATTTATTTTTGTTCTTACTTTCCCAGCTGTTATATATAACAGAGGAAAAGTATGGCGATCGGTCAAAAAATAATTCCCCAAAATTTTGACATTTTTGTACTGAGGAGAACTTGAAACGTTGAGAAATTTAAAAAAAATCAGGGTATTTTTCAGTATGTATAGATGTTAGTGTGTGCGCGTGAGGCACGATTTTATATTTTTCTTTGAAGTTGAATAACTTCTGTCTTTTGTTGAAATTTTCTGAAATTATTCAGGGAGGATTCTGTATTAAGGGAATCGATGCTATTAAATTTTGGATGTTAATGGTCCATGGGGTGGTGAGATATAGAGGTGCATATGTCAAATCTCGAGTACGATCGGATTAAATGACGATTTTACCCGTTAGTATAATTTATAATTTTTTACAAAACTCATCCCTACCCTCATAATTAAGATTCTTCCCATTTTATAATAATTAATTATATAAACGTTTTTAATAAAATATCATAATAGATGGTGCCATACGCAATTTTAAATATTTTTGCCGAAAATGTTAAGCAACTCGTTGCTAAATTTTATCTTTCCTAAATAGTTTGCAAGTATCTAGTAGTCAGGAAAAATTTAAGTTAGAAACAAAATCTTATTGCTAACTATGTACTAAATAATAAATCTATTCATTTTATGCAAAAAGCTAAAGATAACAATTTTTTGTTGAATTTTCCTATTTATTTTCATATAATTAATTTACCTAATTTCCATAAAATTATTCTTAATAACATTTTAAATATATAAATCTTATTGTCTCAAGGATTATTCATATTTTTATATATTTTAAATAATGTAATAAGTTTTAATTTGTGCAGATAAATTACTTACTATTTTTATCCACTATTAATTTCTTACTCCAAAACGTACCCAATTTATTTTTTACTGGTAATGGAACACAGAGATTTTGTTCGTGACAATAGTACAATATGGAATCCATTACATCTGAAAAATATACGTTTCATAAATATATGGAAATTACCTTAAAACACGTGTATTTATATATAGTTATTAAAATATATTACAAATCCTGTTTCTGATGCACTTGTTATAGTTTAATATTTTAATTAAATTTAATGAAAAATGCTTTAAAATGTGTGATTCTTTTCAATTTGCTTTCTAGTAAAGTGATTTATTCCTACCGTCTAGAAATTAATAAAGAGTACTAGACAATATGCTAATATAAAAATACATTTTTAGCAAACAGCCTTTGACAGCTGTTAGGCAGGTTTCAGATGAGCCACTCGGTCTCGTGTACCAGTGACTTAGGCGCTCCACTCAAAAGTTGTCCATATGAAAAACTCTTAAGTGGCTGCTGTCACTACCTGTGACAGAGATCCGATCCGCGTTTTTCTGCCACAGACTGGCGTCACTAACGCCTGTGTGAAAACATACCTTTGAAATATAAGGTATTCAATGGGGAGTAGAATGGACACAATCGAGTGGCTAGGTGTCGTCCATTAAACTGCCCGCTGCATGCCATTAACCTTTAATTAGCGAATTAATTAATTAATAATTATTTAATCATTAATAAAGCCATTACCCTTTATAAAAACGATACCTGTCAAAACGGAAAGATCTGATTAGTACCTTCGCGTTTTGTTTTATGCAGATTTTACAGTATTAAAATTTTAAACAACAATATTTACCTATGAAGTCAGTGCTTTCGCTATCTAAGTTATTTATTATTTTTAATGTATAACCACTTTGGCATATGAAATTTAAATAGCGATTTTCAAAGTCATCTTCCACCTGAAAAAAGCAAATATGTTATTCTTTCAATCACCATAACAGTGTATTTCTATTAATAGGACTTATCATACTGGTGTATAAGATTACAGCAACACAGTCACACAGATTAAAATTGTTTTATTTACAATTACCTGTGTGTCTGTGTTGCTGTAATCTTATATACCAGTATGATAAGTCCTATTAATAGAAATACACTGTTATGGTGATTAAAAGAATAACTTGTTTAAAGTAAGGACATTGATGCATATTAATTAAAGCAAATATGTATTGATATTCTTTTATACTTCAATTTGTAGTAATATATTATTTACCAGCAGATGATCCCGGCGTTGCTCGGGCAAAAATAACAACAGCGATGTTTAACATTATTAAATTAATTCGTACTTCTAACATTCTATTACATTATAGTATTTGATTTAGGTTATATTTACAAAGGTTATCTTACGTAAGAGTTTATCACACCAAGTGATAAAGCTATTGCATTTTAAAAATTGTTTAAATTGTGTAGAGTAGAGGAATAATTTTTAAAATGTTAGATGGCTCACTCGGTGTGATAAACCCTTAAGTAAGATAACCTCCGTAGTTATAAAATTCAAATACTATAATATAATAAATATTAACTTAAAACGAAAACAATATAAAAATTTTTGTTATTTTAGCCTACCATTATCGTGTTTATCACGATACTATGAAGGTACGAAATGTCACAAATTCAATAGTCAAGAATTTTAAATTTTTGAAATACCGTATCAAAGTATTTTCTAATGGTAACTCTAAGAAACTGTACCAGTCACAGCCGAATATCAAACGGTGATCTGCGAACGAATCAAACTTCGAAAAAAAATGGATAAAATATTAAACTCGGCGCCCTCGAAAACAACTTAAATCATATTTTGAACTCGCCGATAACATTATACTATGTAATTTTCTTATTCTAATGCCACCATACCTCTGGTCCGATAGAAAAATAGGACTGTTGCAGAAGGGGATTGAAATTATTCGACCAAAGTAGTTATGACTTCTCAGAAGAGAAGATGGTCAAGGATTACTAATTAATACCGGTCTACTACATATTAATATTTGAAAAGTGATCCGTGTTAGACAGGTTGTGATGGCCACACATGTGATCAAAATTTCTAACCTTAACGTTCGAAAGACTTCGTATAAGACTTCTTTCAATAAAAAAGTCTTATAAAATGTATAGAACAATTCCATTTATGTGATAATAAAGTGGATAAATTTTGGCAACAGATTGTATAATATACATGGAAAGTACCGGTATGTTCTCGTAAATGTTGCATTTATAGAAAAATTACTGGGCTGCAATTTGAAAAAATTATAAACCTATAAATTTCGACTGTTGTCCACTGTCTGTCTGACTGTCCTTCCTCAATCTCTAGGAAGGATTTAGTTCGATTAAAGTCGAGACAATATGTCGAAAGTAAATGGCAGCAATCCCAGGTTAACTATATAAGAACTTCCAGTTTTGGAACGAAAGTAACGTTACTTCGATTGAAAATTTCCCCCCAAAGGAGTTATTTATATGGCCGACGACTCAATCTTATATATGTTAAAATTGTTAATACAAAAAGTATGATGTACAGGGGCACGGCCACTACTAAAAGAATTGAAAACATTGTGACAAAAAGATGCAGTCCGGCATAGTGAGGATGTCACAATAAATATTCACTCGTTAGAATTAGTCTGGTTTATTTGGTTATGGCAACGCGACACGTTAGTGATCTGCCAAGGAGATGCATCCCGGAAGCCTTTTATGTGATGCTGGCCCCGATTTAAGTGTTACAAACGCGAAGAAAACCCAGAACACTCCACCTTTGACCATGCGCGAACCCACGACCGACTACCTGTGTTCGGTGGATTATCCATTCAGTTACTGGAAGGCACTAATCGGGCTACTATTGGAAAAAATGTAAACATATAAATTCTCAGTGGCTTCGGTGTTTCCAGAACTAGATTGACACGCCATCTGGAAAAACCCTTATACTACTTACACTACCAAGGAAAAGAACAGGAGAACTGGAAACCAAAATACTGCAAAGCAGTATAACCGAAAAACCCGAAATAATCGAAAATGGGATGGTCTAGAAATAAGAAACTAACAGGAACAAAGCAGCTACTAAGGGAACGAATTACAAAGGGAAAACTTAACTACAAAAAACGGAAAGCACAAAAAAGCCAAATTACTAACACCGAAAAAGCTATGAAAACGACTAGGCAGCTGAACCTGGCCTAGTAAGGCCTAACTATGGACTTACAACCGAAAAGGCTGAAGAACAACTCCGCAAAACCAGAAAAACCAAAAATACTGCAATGCAGTAAAACCAGAAAAACCCGAAATACTTCGAAAACTAGGTGACAGAAAAACCAAAATTACAGGGGAAACTCACCACCTGAAGACTTAACTAACCACAAAAAGAGAACTATCTAACTTAGACCTAAACTAACTGAAAAACACACTAAAAACTGAAAATTTACAAAACCCAGCAAAAATCAAGAATGTGATCGAGTGGAAGCTGAAAGGGAGTGAATTTAAATCAAAGAATAACTGTTTCTGTCTGGCAAAGCCAAAACAGAAACTGAGATAGCTGAGCCTAACAAACGAAAAACACGTGAAAATGAAAAATCTAGCCTATTGAGAACTGACTCAAAATCTGAGCAGTAACACAAATACTAATTAAAATGACAAAAAAACAGCTAACACTCAATAGGAAAAAACTCAATAGAGCCCAAGAAACACAAAAGCAAAAGCTCACCAACACAGGCTAGAAGCAGAAGAAAGTCAAGGACGAGTTTATGCAAAACGTATTCGAAGGGGTACGGGACTCACTGTATAATAAAATAAAATTATTTTTAATGAATTAATCATAGATAGAAAAAGAAAACTATTTTAAGAAACGACATTATAATTAAAAATATTCGAAAATAAGTAAAGGAAAATACTGTTCTGAGAACGAAGTCACGACATTAATGAAACAGAGAAAATGGATACAAGAACTTACAAGTCATCTAATCGAAGCGTGTGAAAATTTCAATTCAATGGTCCTGGTGTTTAAAATAGGTGATTTTTCACGGAAATATCGGTCTGTGCTCGTAGTAAAGATTATTTTGTTCGTTTTTAATAAAACGATAGATTGAATAGCAGTTTCTTGTATCGAATATGAATCCAATGATTAGTATAAAAATACAATCAAAGTCACAATTAAGTAAAAAATTTGAAAAATAAAAAAATTAAAATTGCATTTGAACTTAATTTAACTAACCATACTATGAAAATACTTTAACTAGCAACATTACTGAATTTTCAATGAGATGAAACTAAATACTGTAAGTACAAAACAATAAATTTTAACTGATTAAGTTCTTTATGCCAAATAATTTAGGCGTATTAATCTGTTAAAATGTAATTTATTGAATTGTATCCTGCTTACTTTTGTTAGCAAGAATAGAATATGACTAATTATTCACTTAGGCTGAGTGAAATAAGAATTAAATCACAATGGTAAATATTTATTCACAAACCAATGATATAACATAATTAATATTATATTCTTCACATATGAAAAACTAATTATCGAGTATTATATCCAAATTATGTGTAGCTAACAGAACTGAACATTTATTTTCATTCTGCCAGTAGATTTACTTTCGTTTATTTTGAAATTGATTCTGTTTTTACAATAAATAATTTTAGAAATGGATTTCTAAAAATTTTCTTAATTAAATCCCTTTGATTTTAAGTAGTCGGTCTTACCTCAATATGGAAATTCCTGTCGTCAAAACCGTTCAGTTCCCTTACTCTTTTTACTCTTATTCCATACACATCATTCACAAAGGAAGACGCAAAAGTTTCATCAACAAAAGCCTTGATCACTCGATTTTCAGAAGACTCTTTATTATCCATCTGCGAAATCATATAATTATGAAATTGTATTGTCAGTACAGTAAGTTCATACACACAATAATTCAAATTATAGGCATACAAACTAATAATAATTAATAAAATATTTCGTCATAATGTTTAAATATGTTGTCTAAATTGCAGATTCCCTCCCGACTCTATTCTTAACCGCGGTTATAAAGTCCGTACCGTAACCGTATCGGTATCCGTAAGCGTTTACAACGCTGGTATTATGGCAGTAGTTATAAAATACCGTACGGCCGGATTCATATCCGTAACAAACCAAACTTTTTTACGACGTAGGACACGTGCACACTCTTGATTTAAATCGGAGAAATATCATTGTTTCTGTTTCCAAATATACATTATAATTATATATTCATTTAGTGTTTTACAGTAGAGCCTCGATTATCCGACCCCCGATTAACCGATACCTCGGTTAACCGACCGTCTAGTCGGTAAATTTCAAATGTCCGCTAGTGATAAGGCGCTACAATATTTGGCTATGTCTTGGCTACTTTAATATTATTTTTACGTGTTTTAGCTGGCAACACTGGATCGACCATGAAAGGGAGCCAGTATTTAAACGAGGCTTAATTTTCTAATCTTTAACGATACAATAGCAACGATTATTATTTTAAAATAACATTTGATAGGCTTAACATGGAGGAAAATTCAACGCGAAGTAGGTTAATAGCGATATAGTAATATACTAATTACATGGGATATAATAATATCCTACACTAATAATGGATTTTTTCATACTTTTCGGTTATCCGACTTTTCAATTATCCGACCAACCCCAGTTCCCAATTGAGTCGGATAATCGAGGATCTACTGTATTTGTTTTTTACGACCAAAGTAATCTAGCTCTTACTTTAACTTTTATATTGTTTAAAGGTCTGTTTACATTCATGGGGCGCACTTGCTGTCGTCCACGCTGCCCATCCTTCATCTTTTTACTAATAATATAAGCTCCTGCAGTAATTGCTAATAATGCAATTATAGTCACATATTCTTGTCGTCCCGTTTCCATTGCGTTGCTAATCTGTCAAGTACTCCTCAGCTACTTCCGGCTTTCGACTTCTGATCGAGGAAGTTAAGATCGAAAAGCGACTTGGTGCATGCGTAATCCGCAGATTTTCCATATTCATACCGTAAGTTTGATGCATTCAAACTTTTCTTACGGAATACGGTACGGAGTTTATAACCACACTTTATGGATACGATTAGGATACGGTTCAGTACGGAGTTTAACCTAGCCCTAACGAAACCAAACAACACACTGCTGGATGAAACACTTTCCATACAAACGTTGCCTCAATAGAACCGCAGAAATCCTGGAAATATTACTTGAAAAGATTAACCTTCTACTTAGAAGCCAGTAAAATCATTGATGCCAATACCGAGCCACACTGTTTAGCCTTTTAGGTACATAGACGTTCCGTTTCGTGTTGCCACTGGTAGCTCTGCTAGACGATTGCGACTTAAGCTACAATGAACTTATTGAAAAGTTAAACAACCATTCTGAGCCAAAACCGAATAAAAGTGTTCAGAGATTTCATTTTACTTTCCCGGATGTTATGTATAATAAAGGGAAAGTGTGACGATCAGTCAAAACATGATCCCCAGGTTCTTACATTTTTCGACTCAGAGGTCCTTGAAAAGTCGATGAATAAAAACAATTCGGGGGTTTTGCTGAATGTATGCATTTGTGTGGGGGTGACCGATTTTGTTCACTCTATTTGAAGCTTAATAATTCCTGTGCTTTTTGTCGAAAATTTCGAGTTTTGAAGGGAGATTTGTGGTTTAGGGGATTGACGTTATTAAAGTTTGGTGGTTAACGGTCGACACGTCAGGTGATAAAGATGATCATGTGTCGTATCTCGAATAAGGTCAGACTTAATCACGAGTTTACTCGTTATTAGCATTGACAGTTTTTTATAAAACCCATCCAGCTTAATTTTAATGGTAGTGATCTACTATGAAAATCAAACGTTTTGTCTTTTTATATCACATGGAAAGGGTAAATCTTGGGAAGAGATTCTGTTATTTATGCAAGTTGAGAAAAGATTTACGAAATAGATTTCGAATTGAGTACCTGGGCAATTGCAAAACCCGAGGAGGGTAGCCAAGGGCACTAAAATGATTTTTGTGGGAGATATCGTCTTGGTTGGGCATGACAAACAAAAACGACTTGATTGTCGTCTGGCGAAAGTTGTCGAGATCTATCCAGGTATAGATGGATTCGTAAGAGTAGCCAAAATAAAAACACATGTTGGATCCGTCCTGTCAGGAGATTGTACCCCTTCGAGAGCTCTTTGGGGGATGAAAAATATGTTATGCGAAACGAATTTCGTGGCAAGACTGCTGACTCTACTGAAAACGATCGCGAGGGGACCTATGATCAGTCCCGAATGGCCTCTGACGCTACATGGAGTGATGTTGTGACTACTTCCTCTGAGAATTCCCAAGTCTCAAAAAGGGGCAGACCTCTAAGGGCTCCCAATTGGCTAGATTTTTAAACTGATTCCAACTCATTTAATTTATACTGTGTGTGTTTTGTCGGGTTTAAACTTAGATTTAAGTTTAATTTGATTTTGACTGACAAAATCGAAGGTGGGAGGATGACCCGTTCATACCGCTAGATGGCGAGCGTTTTCTGGTTTTGGTTTTTCATTGTTAATATTTAATGTTTAATATTATTATTGTAGAGAGTTGGCAACACAGACGGTGATGTTAAGTTCCCAAAAGGTGCGAGAACATAGCGGGATGCTCTTCCAATCGAATTATTGTAAATGGTTGATTTGTTGTTTTTTGTGTGAATAAAATCTAAAGACAGATTTAGTGGACTTTTCTTGGTTGGAGATACGACGGGAACCTGGCGTACGAACAAGACGGGTCAGGTGAGACTTACGAAGATTAATTAATCATTACACGAGACTAGGATCGGCCTGACACGGCAATTACAGATGCAAGCAAAAACCGTAAATTCCAACGACTAGGGGAGCGTTGTTTTATTCCTTCGCGTAACTCCGCGCGAGTAGCATCCGTTTAAAAATTCCTGCGGAACGCGTTCCTATATTCCGGCCGGAGTGCGCCCCATCCTACGACAAAATCGGCCGCTGGTAATAGTTTACGGTGGAAATGGCGTCTCCGTAATCAGACAGTTTCGTTTCGGGGTCCATTATGTGGTTTTATGAATGAAAATTTACAAGTTGTGAAAGCGCAAGTTAGTGCACGTGATGTATCTTTTCGAATGGTAACAGGCATTCTAATTTTTTTCGTGGCTACTTTGTCGGCAAGATAATCCATTTTATGGTTAAATTTTACAATTGGGACCTTTCCTTTGTCTCAAAAGACGCATATTTTAAAATCGTAGATCACTCCATCAGGATACTATCGATAGTACGGGTGCTTTCATCTTTCTTTCTTTCTTTCGTCGTCGTTCCTAAATGCCTAGAAACAGCAGCGCACTCCCGTAGTAGCGGAGAGGCAGAGAGACCGCTATTAACGAACGCGCCCTAGGACTGCACCGAAGGACAGTAAAGTCGAAGAGCAGGCAGTCTCTTATTTTTAATTGTTTATAATTGCTAACTTTCGCGTCCACCCTTTACTGAGATTTTTGCACGAATGAGGCGTTCATTTTCGAGTAGTATCGAATCATTCTTAAAACCATAAGAAATGTACAAGTTACACCAGTCATGGAAGACTTAGCGTAAAAACTTTTAAGTTTTGTAATTTCTTAGCTACAAATCCTAACGATTTAAATCAGCATTAAGTAGATTAGAAGTTAACTCAAAGGTATCTACTCCGTGATTGGTACGATATTTTTACTAAGCATCGGCAAACTTTAGATTTTGAAGCAGTTTTAAAATCTTTCTGTTTGGCGTGAAACTTACATTTAAAAAATTTTGTTTATCATCGTAATCTATGGAATTTTGTAAGTTACTCTCTTGCAGATACGATTAAAGAGGATTTTGTTATATATACGTAACCGGAACGAGCTGAAATGAAGTATCACTTCATTTCAGCTGGCTAGCGAATTCCGTATTCCTAAGAACATAAACGAACGTGGATAAACAGTTGCGGTTATCGCCGTTTCTTATCCACGCATACATAGCTAAGTATACATACTTTCTCTTAGCGTAAATAATAAATCGTCACAAAAGCTGGAAAAATTTAAGCGAAAACGGCTTTTTGTCGTAACTTGGCGCGTTTTAATTACAGAAATGACTTTTTCTAATTAAACTCGCATCTTAACTAAGAAGTCGTTACACCGAAAAATGCAATTTGCCCGTTGGCGGAAGAAGTAAACAGAAAAAGGGCCGAATCATTGTCGATTTCCTCAACCGAGTCGTTATTGAAGAAAACGATAATCGCTGTAGTAAGCATTAAGTTACCGTTTACGAGAAATGATTAACTACGGTCGTATTCAAATTCGAAATAACGTCATTATGCAAATTCACTAATTGAAGTCTCGTAAAGTTAAAACGGGAATTATACGTACGTTTCTGTCCGATCCTGTATCTACGAGGAAGTGTCCCGGCGATCGCGTGATTTGGACGCTTTCCAAATTCATCTAGCAACGATAACGAGAGTCGACGCCTCAAAAGCTGATAAAAATTATGCAACGGAATGGTTATACGTTCGTTATTTCCAAATATTCGCGCGATTACGAAAGTAAAATATTTTTACCAAACTTTAAATAAATTTTTCGTTGTCCTTTTCAATCAAATAACTGTCATCCAAATGCATTGAGGGCGTAATTGTAGCCTATAATCTCTTCTCGAGGTCAAAACGGACCGGTTACACTTCTGCCGGAAGTAAACGTAAGCCCGCCCTCGGTTTCGATCGAAGGCTATTAACAATAGTCACTTTTCGTCGTGACTTGGAATGTCTATCTAAATATCGTTACGCAAATTATGCCGTTACGTAATCGTAATAGAAATGCTAACAGTAAGAAGCTTAAATTAATAATGCCGTCAAATACAGAATTAACGTAACCGAGTTTTTAGACCGATAAATCTAGAACAGTGGTCTCCAAAGTGGGGTACGCAAAGTATCACTTTGTGTACTTCTACTAAAATGTAAATTTGTAATTTAATTTAAATATGTGTATATTATCTATCTCCTTCTCAGCAATATTAGTTACTTATACAGTACTAAGAAACACGCCTGATTTCTATTTGCCGAGTTTTTTCTTCATTATGTGCATATTGTTTAAAATCACTAAATAATAAACAATTTAATTTTTTACTATACACACACACACACACACACACAATGTTATATTATATTATAAACGGTACAACTTATAATTATTTTGTCTTAGGGGTAGCGATCAAAAAAGTTTGGAGATCACTGGTCTCTAGAAGACTTGCGACGCTTTTTAAAAAGTTCTTGGAAAATTCCTAACCCGAAAGATCATCCGCACTTGCTGGGTGTTTATGCCTTTTTTTAATAATGGCGGTGACCGAAAGTATCTCGAATGGTGAAGTTTGGCTTTCTTTTAAAGTAGACGTTTCGATAAACCGCTTCTCTGTTGAGTCAACGAACTCAAAATGACGTTATTAAATGATAACGAACAACGACATATTTTATTAAATAATGCACGCTTCATTAACTTATAAAAGCTCCAATTAGATAAACTATTTCAATTTATCAAACAATACATCGTTCTTAGCTAAAAATTTCGCAAGGACGAAGCTTATAGTACACGTATTTTCAGAACATTCTAATATAATTTTTTTCATGTATCTTAAACTTGTTATTAGAGAGGTTGAGGCACAAGTTCAAACGTTAAACGTGTACGGGTAGCAGAATAAAATAAATAAGTAGAGAGGTTGAGGCACAAGTTCAAACGTTAAACGTGTACGGGTAGCAGAAGTACACGTTACACGTTTCAAGTCCAAGTAAAAATCGTTGAGGCACACTTTAATAACATCACGTGACTCAATGAACATCGCGCATTGACTCACGGTAAATAAGTTGAAAAAAATGGCGGAAGCAAAATAAATCATAATTTTAACCCCAAACACAAAAAAATGAAGACGTTTAAGCCGATCGTGTACTCACCAAGCTACACGTAGCAAACGCCATTATCGACGGTCCAGAACTGCCAGATGGCGGAAATCACCCGTTACCCGTACACGTTTTGGGCTAAATACGTGCGCCTCAACCTCTCTATTATTTGATTATTGACGTGTACTTTAACCCGAGGCAGAGCCATAACTAGGATTTTGGACGCTTATAGCCAAGAATAAAAATGGCTTTTATTTAATTTTTATTATTTAAAAAATAATAGACTAATTTTATTCTAAAACAATGCTATTATAAAAAAAATTATCTAATGACATTTAAATACAATAATACCCCGAACTTACGCGATAGGTGGGACCGAGCGATGACTGCGAAGTCGAATTCGCGTAAGTCGGAGTATAATTTCGCAATTTGTGTAAAATCCAAGTGGGATGTATGTAAGCTAATAAATGTTCTCGTTAATCTTATCTCGTCTTTTGATTCGTTCCCGGTTACAAGAAATCACCACATAGAGTCTCTCAAATCTCCGTAGATATAACAAACACAGAAATAAATAACACAAAATAAATTGTAGCTATGTGTCGATTCCGCGCGACACGTTCGAACATGTAAGCTGAACAATAGTGTGGGGGGAGTGAGCAATCAACAGTTGCGTGGCGCTCAAACAAAAGACGAATCGACGAGATTTGAAAATTGCGTAACTCCGGATTCGCTTAAGTCGGGGTAGCGTAAGTCGAGGTATTACTGTACTATATAAATATAAATATAAAAGTTTTCCGTTTTATATGAATTTCATGTTGTACGAGTCACTTAGATTTTAGAAATACGTTCACAGCCCTGCACACGCATTTGTAAAATCTAAGTGACTCGTACAACATGGAATTCATATAAAACGGAATAATCAACAGTGTTATAGAGGGGTCGACTATATTTCCTTCGACTTCTACTGTATAGCTTATTGTAAATGCTGTATGTTATTATGCTACTGTTTATTGTGTTATGTAAAACTGTATTTATATTATTTTGCTTTGTATTACTTCAATTGACTATAATGTTTTATGTCCTATTGATTTGTACTGTTAATATGTAAATAATTCCTATGTATACTTATCTGGTAATGCACCTAGTGGCGCCAGATATGTGCGTATGCGCTTTAAATAAAGACTGACTGATTGACTGTATAACCTTCGAGTTCCATTTCACAATTTCTTATATGAATTTTATTATAAGAATGAAGAAGTTTTTATTTAGACCCCAAAACCAGCTTTATGGATAAATAAATGACAACGAACAAAACTGACATAATAGTCAATATTAAATTGTGCTATTATTGCTATTATGTCAATTTATTATACAGTAATACTCCGAACTTACGCGATAGGTGGGACCGAGCGGTAACCGCGTAAGTCGGGGTATAATCTAAATATATAAAATTGCTTGTCCTGACTGACTCATTCATTCATTCACTGATTCATCATCGCCCAGAGCAAACCGCTTAACCTAAAGAGGTGAAATTTGGTACACAGTTAGGGTACGTCATGGAAACGCACACTAAGAAAGGATTTTTCGAAATTCCAACGCGGGGGGG